GGAGATATGAAGTCATGTTCACAACTTTGATAGGAAATCAGGTGCCTGTACCATATTAGTGTAATCATGTCTTTCCTGTTGTAAAGCCAAAAAAAGGTCCATACCCAGGAAATTAAGATCATTAAGCCTGTTTTTAGCATTAATGTGTTCATTTTTCCATAGTAACTTATGAAAGAACAGACAACCTTACCTTATCAACTAATTTTCTTTTACGTCAGTGGCAGTGCTATTCAAATAGTAATGTGTGCCTAATAACTACTTAGTTTTTACATTATTAATGGGGTTGGCTTTACTTTGGGAGAGTTATGTAACAACCAGTCAACACACAAATAAAGACTAATGCCCAATTTCCGTTTGTCAGATTTGCCCTCTTTTTCTTTTCCTTGGCTTCAAGATATCTTTCTATGTGTTATCTCTATTTCCACTATCATCTATGCCCACCCCCCTTCAGAGTTTTATCTTACCGTCATTCCACTGACATCATTTTTGTTCAGTCCTTTATTGTGTATGTTAGGTGAGTTTCCAAATTTTAGATGATTTTTATTTTTAGAACACAAAGCCTGAAAAGTTAATGGTAACTCAGCATGACACTCAGTTCACTGACATCCAGATGTAGATGGCTTTCGAGGGACCAACAGTTCCAGAATGACCTGGAGACCTGGGTAAAATGGACAGTGTGCCCACAGTTGCTTTGTAAACCAGCACCCTGGTAAATTGGTTGCATGCCTCAACCTTGATTGAATGCCACACTCAGCAAATGGTAGATTGCATGAAGCTCTGTTATGGCCTGACCAAGTCAGAATCCAAGAGTGGTAATGTTCAGTGTCACTGTGGAGTGTCCTGATTGGCAGCTGACGAGTATTGAGCACCTACGGAGGGCAACTAAGGCTTGCTTTATGTAACTCAGAGGGATGAGTGAGAAAGTTAGTTGCCAGGCATTTTGCTGAAACGGAAGTAGAATATGGAAGAACAGGGGTGATTTCAGTCAGTAAATTAATTAGCAATTGTTTCCAAGCCTGGATGAACGTCACAGTCATTTGGGGAGTTTTTCCAGCAGTGTGTATGGAGTTCTTTGCCCCGAGAGATTCTGCTTAGTGAATCCGCTTTATCGAATAGATAAACCACAATTGATTACATGCTTATTTTCTTTTTATTAAGGTTTAGGTTTTCCCCGTATTTTGCCGTCATTCCCTTCCTCCTAAATCTTTACTGTTCTTCCTGTCCTCAAAGATTAAGTTTAAATCCCAGACCCCACCTTAACCTGTCCTTCAGAGCTTTCCTAATGTGTCTCTTCCCATCTTCCCAACCTTCTTAGGATATGGGTTTTACATTTTAATTTGAGAGAATTGGCAGTTATTGAAAGGATACTTTTAGATTGGTCATAAACACATGAAAACTGTTCATTCTCAAGAGCAAGCAAGTAAGTACATGTTACAATCCTAAACTATGCTTTCTTGTTATCAATTGGCAAGGATGAAAAGAGATGAGAATACTTTATTTTGGCGTGAATCAATGGGAAGGTCTCTCTGCTACACTCCTTTTAAAATGAATTGGTAAGACCTTTCTTGAAAGCAGTTTGGCATTATGTATCAGGAGCCTTGAAATAGTTCACATTCATGTTCCTTAATCCAGTTATGTCCTTTGGAAACTGTCCTAAAGAAACAGCAGATATGGAAACAAAAATGTGTTTACAACAATGTTCAGTACACTGAATTTTATGGTAACAAAAAATTGGAAGGAACCTAAATGTCCAATAGTAGGGAAAATGTTAAATGAAGGATAACCTCCCGTACGATGGAATATCATTCATTCAAAATTGTGGGGATGGAGTTTCATGGTAAAAATATACATAACATAAAACTTACCATTTTATCTATTTTTAAGTGTACAGTTCAGTGGCATAAAGTACAGTCATACTTGTGCAACGATCAGCACTATCCATCCACAACACATCTTACAAAACTCAAACTCTATATGCATTAGACAACTTCTCATTTTCCTCTCCTCCCAGCCCCTGGCGACCACCATTTTATGTTCTATCTCTATTAATTTGACTAGGTATTTCATATAGGTGGAATCATATGGTATTTGTCTTTTTTGCAACTGGCTTATTTTACTTACCATAACATTCTCCATGGTCCATCCATGTTGTAACATGTCACAATTTCCTGTGACTGAATAATACTCTATTTTGTGTATATACCATTTTATGTTTAACCATTCATCTCTTGATGACTTCTGTGTTGTTTCCACCTTTTCGGCCACTGTTAATAATGCTACTGTGAACATTGGTGTACAAATATTGACTCCTCTGCTTTCAATTCTTTTGGGTATATAACCAGAAGAAAATGGTGGTGTTTTAAAAAAAAATATTTGATAGTAACATGCATTATGGTATCCAATCAAAATTAAAAAAAACAGATTTATATGGAAACCAACTTGACAATAAACTATTAAAAATAAAATAAAAAAACAGATTATAAACTTAACATGTCTCTCTCCCTCTCTCTCTCTCTTTCTCTGTCTTTGGAAAAAAAAAAAGTATGAGAATAGGAAAAATACTGGAAGAAGATGGTTAGAATTTTGGGTTATTTTCTTTTCTTCCTGACTTTCCTGTTATAATACGGATTATATACAAATAAGTAGTTAGAAATGAAGAGAGGGTCCCTGCCCCCCATCTATAGATCATATTAATGCAGTGATTTGGCACTAGTTTTCTTATGCTGTCCTGGCTTGTCTGTGAGTTATTTTATGAGTGATAATTTAAGAAATAACACTAGGGATGTAAAGCACCATGAAATTCTAATTTAATTACTTGTATGTCTCACAGAAAGAATCACAGCTGTTATATCACCAAGAAGAAAAAATGACAGCTAAATAGAAAGAACTTGACTTGAGCTCACTTTCTTCTTTGATGTAAAGTAGACTCTCTTTAGCTAGAAATAATGAATTCAAGAATATTTCCTTTATTCTTGACTTTATTGAACATCTCAGTGCAGGTGCAAAAAATGAACTGTCTTTGTTATATAAAGACTTCATCGCTCACTTTATAATCAAGTACTTTCCTCTTTCAGAACAAGCTTGCAGTCAGGTGACAAATACAATTGCTAATAATAAAGCAGCCTTGAACAAAAATCTATTGCTCTGGAAGCTTGACTAAGAAGTTTGCATCTTTTCAATATAATAATGAAGAATGCAAATTATTTACTTTTTTCCAATAAGTATGTTAGTACTAAAATAGAAAAAAGTCAACAACAGTGGACGTAACTTCATACAGTTACTCAGATGTAGTCACCAGAATTCTCTTAAGATGTGAATATCTGGTTTCATCCTTAAGATTTCTTTTGTTAATAAAGTCTTCTTTAATTTAGCTTACTCACCTCTAGCCATTTAATTTCTCTATATTTAGAAATAGTTTTACACTGTTAATCATTGTTTATAGATTTCTTTATGTAAGGACTAACATTGTTCATGTTCATTTATCCTTTTGCTGTTTAAACGATGATGTATTCAACAACGTGAAACTTCTTCTTTGGTGCATTTTTATGGACATATTCATCAGTATTGCCATATGAGTTCTTTTAAAAATATTAGTCTTTAGTCTAATAAGATTGATCAAATATATCTTGTGACAAACACCATTCTTTCCAAGAATATAGCAGTACCTGTTCCTGTTGTATATAGAACACAAGTTTTATTCTTAATATAAATAAGCAATTCTTCCTGCTTTTATTTCTCATAATTTTTCCTGTTTACCCCAATCCCCTTTTACTAAAAACCAAAACCAAAACCAAAACAAAAAACCAGAAAGTAATGAAAAAAGACTAAAAAAATTTTTTTAACAGACACCGAAGGGTAGGCAGAAAATACAGAGAAGAGGGCTCAGGTTTGGAATCAAGCAGAATTGGGTAAAGTTCCCACTCTGCCACTTCTAATGTGCATGACTAAATATTTCCATGCTTTAGTGTCCTGAGTAAACTTGAGATAATCCACTCTACCTTAAAGAGTTGTCATAATTAGAAATATTATGCTTGAAGTGTCTAGTGCAATACCTTGTTCCTAGTAGTTGCTTAGTAATGAGAGGCAGCTATTATTATTGTTTCTGTTTCGCATTGTTACTATTTGGTATTAATCACAGCTGTCTTTAGTGGAGAATATCATTTGTGTTGTATTTTTGTTAGAAATACAGTATCTCTTTTCTTAGGAAGGTGATCTATCCCACCCATGACACCAGGTTTGGGTGCATTTCTTGGTTGATGCTCATTATCAATAGACTCTTTAAAAGCCCCGCTGTGATTGTACCATGTGTATTTTTCCTTGGTCATTTTCTGGAGAAAACTGCTTCTTCAGGCTGAGTCCCAGAAAGAGAACAATGTGGAGCGAAGCTGAGCCAACCAACATAGAAATGTGGTGTGAATAGGCATTACTAGCTCCTGGGATTTGCAGTTGCTTGACACTGTGACACACTTACCCTAAAATGACTTATACATCATCTGCAGCTAACATGGATAGTCTTACTCTTTTAACATCTGTATGTCAACATCTATATTTTAATGTTATTTTAGATTTATATTTTAACATTAATTTATCAAGTTTGAGTCTACAAAAAAAAATGAAATGATAAAATATGTTTAGAAAATTAGCACCAAGGGACTAGAAAATAAAATATCCCAGTGATAAGAATCAACATTGGTATAACTGACCTCCAAGCCAATAGGCATTTTAGTAATAGCATGGAAAAAGAATCATATGCTACTTCTTCAGAAGAAACTATGATCTCCCTAGCAATAAATTAATTTCTCATACAAGACCTTCAATTGACTATAGTGAAAGATATGTGAACAATATCCTCAATATTTTTATTAAATAGTGAATTCCAACAACATTAAAATGTAATGTGTTGAAAGTGATATGCAATTCACTAATTTAATGTGTTGTAAGGATATAGCTTTCTGGTCATATGTCTTTTATCAAAGTCAGGGTTTAGACTCCTCGAGAAAATGAGTAGCTTATTTGAATCTCCTATGAACTGCTATATTTATCACTTGTCTCAGCCTGGTTCTTGGTAAGAAGTGGATGCTGACTTTCTTCATTCAGCAGCATTTCGTATTCACCTTCAATGTGTTAGGCATCCCAATGATTCAGTTGTTGGAGATTCAGTGGCCAAACAAGACTGACCATGAGGTCCCTGCTCTCATGGAGCTTGCACTCAGCTGAGGGAGATAGATGATAAAGGAAAAGTAATTCCAGATTATTATAAATTCTGTAATAGATCTATACACAGTTTCCATTTTTTTCTTAAGTGATATTAAGTGGTTTTCAAGAAAATTTTCCATTTCACCTAGGTTGCCACATTTATTGACATAAAGTTGTTCCTAATATCCTTTTACTTTCTTTTTAATGCTCATAGGACCTATATTAATGTCTTCCGTTTTGATCCTGATAGTCTAGCATAACAGTAGTTTTTATTCTCTCTCTCTCTCTTGCTGTCTGATGAACAATTTGCCTTGGAGTTTATAAATTTTATGAATCTTCTCATAGAGCCAACTTTTGGCACTGCTGATTTTCTTTATTGTACTTTTTGTTTCATTAATTTCTGTTCCAACTACTTTGGGGATAATATGCTGTTATTTTTCTAGATGAAAGCTTACAGTGTTGATTTCTCAACCTTTCTATTTTTCCAACACATGCATTTAATGATATAAATTATTCTGCATCCCAGAAATGTTGATATATTTAACTTTCAATACTATTCAGCTCAAATATCTTCTCATTTTCAGCATGATTTCTCTTTGGCCCCTGGTTTACTCAGAAGAAGTTTGTCAATGCCCAAACCTGTCTTTCTTTCTTATTCACTAGTTTAATTCTATTGTGGTGAGAGAACACACTCTGGATTATTTCAGTTTTTTGAAATTTGTTGAGAAGTGCCTTATGGTCCAGGATATGGTCCACTGTTGTTGGGTGTAGTGTTCTACATAAGCCATTTAGATTAATTTGTTACTCTTATTATTCAAGTCTTCCATATCCTCATTGATATTTTTCATCTGCTTATTTGATCACTAAGAGAAGGGTTTATTTAAAATCTCCAGCTATGGAGGCGCCTGGGTGGCTTAGTCAGTTAAGCGTCTGACTTTCGCTTAGGTCATGATCTCGTGGTTCGTGGGTTCGGGCCCCGCGTCGGGCTCTGTGCTGACTGCCAGCTCAGAGCCTGGAGCCTGTTTCAGTCTGTGACTCCCTCTCTCTCTGACCTTCCCCTGCTCACGCTGTCTCTCTCTCTCATAGAAATAAATAAAACATTAAAAAAATTAAAAAAAATAAAATAAAATCTCCAGCTATGGATGTAGATTTGTCTGATTTTTAGTTTTGCCCATTTTTGCTTTATACATTTTGAAGCCATGTTAATAGGTATGTTTGGGATTATAAATTTTTCTGTTGAATTCACTCTTTTATCATTATGTAATGTAGTAGCTTTTGCTTTAAATTCAGTTTTGTCTGATATTAATATATAATCACCACAGATATCTTTGGGCTAATGAGTGATATGTCTTTAGACATCATTTTACTTTCAACTTAACTGTGTCCTTATATTTAAAGTGTGTCTTTTAAATGTATGTAGTTCTTCTTTTCATCTTTCCTTCTTTCCTTCCTTCCTTCCTTCCTTCCTTCCTTCCTTCCTTCCTCCCTCCCTCTCTCCCTTCTTCCTTCCTCCCCCCCTCCTTTCTTTCTTCCTGTCTTCCTTTCTCCCTTCCTCTTTTCTTTCTTTCTTTCTTTCTTTCTTTCTTTCTTTCTTTCTTTCTTTCTTTCTTATTGTTAGCAATGTAACTTGACAGATCTCTTATTTGTAGTGTTCAGGTCATTTATATTTATTGTGATAACTGGTATTTGCAGTTCTGTTACCATCTTGCTGTTTAGTTTCTCTTTCATTGTTCTTTGTTCTTTTAGGCTTTTTTTTTTTTTTACCCTCCTTACTTTCTATTAATTTAGTATTATATTTTATCCTCTATTAGCTCTTTACTAATACTTTTTATATTATTATTTTAATAGTTCCCTAGAGATTGCCATCTACATCCTTGACTATTCCAGTCTATCTTAAATTTGTACTTTACCACATCCTGAACAAGGAAAGAAACTTAGGGGAGTTTAAATATTCAACAGTTTTTAAAATGTTAACATATTTTATATACAGTCACCTATTTGCCCTTTCTGTTTTCTTTGTTCCTACAGTTCAATGGTTCATCTGGAATAACTTTTCTATAGTTTAAACAAGCACTTTTAGTATTTTTTGTAGTGTGGATCTGCTGGCAGTTAATCCTCCCAGGTTTTGCCTGTTTGGAAACATCTTTCTTACATCTTTTTTTTTTTTCTTGTGTCACTCCAAGAACGTCATTGCATTATTTTTGGCTTCCATAGTTTGTAATGCAAAGTCAGCGATCAATTTTATTATTCCTTTAAAGGTAATGTCTCTTTTCCTCTCTGGCTGATTTTAAGAATTTTCTGTGTCTTTGGTTTCAGAATTTAGACTGTGATTATTTTATTTTATCCTGTTTGAAGTTTTCTGAGCTTCCTGAATTTGTGAGTTAATGTTTTCACTGTTTTGGAATATTTTTGGCTATTATATAAGTCTTTGTATATTTCTTGTGTTCTGTAGTCTCTCTCTCTCTCCTTTCTGGAATTACAATGATACATATGTTAGAGTATTTATCTAGGTCCCATATGTCTCATGCTTTGTTGTGTTTTCCCCTTCTTTTTCCTCTCTCTGCTTCCATTTAGATGCTTTATATTGACCTGCTCTTCATTTCACCAAATCTGTCTTCTGTTCTGTGTAGTCTGCTATTAAACCTGTACAAGGAATTCTTATTTTCAGGTATAATATATCTTAGTTCTAAATTATTTTATTCTTTTTTAAGATAATTTTTTATCCATTTGTCCATCTTTTACTTGACTTTATTTATCAAATTTATAATAATTATGTTAAACTCCTTGTCTATAAACTTCAGCATCTGAATTATCTCTGTGTCAGTTACTCTTGCCTGTTTTTACTCAGTTGTTTATTGGTCACATTTCCCTGGCTTTTTGCATGTCTCATGGTTACTGTGTCCTATACATTTTGTATTTCAGAATTATTAAGATTGAAGGTAATTTTATTTTCTCTCACAGAAAGTTCCCACTTTACTTTTTTGCCAGTGAGGATAAGAATCTGATTACTTCAGAAAACGCAATGTAGTTTAGTTGGTCTGGGTTTCGGTTTTAGTTGACCCACTCTCTCTTGATTTTGTCTCTGCTTTTTGGCTGTGGCCCCCCTCAGCTTTTGATTGAGAGACAAGCAGGTCTCTATCTCCTTATCCCTAAGTACTGTGGGAGATTTCATATCTGTCCTTTGAAGTTTTGAGTTTAACTCTTTATTCTTCCACATCATACCGCTCTTAAATTTGGTAATTTTTTTAAGGAGGAGGCTGTCATGTATTTTTTTAAGCTTATTTATTTTGAAAAAAAGCAGAAAAAAATAAATGGGGCACCTGGGAGGCTCAATCGGTTAAGCATCCAACTTTGATTTCATGCTCTGGTCATGATCGCTGGATCAAGTGCAATGTCTGGTTCTGCGCTGACAGGGTGGAGCCTGCTTCAAACTCTCTCTCTCTCCCCCTCTCTTTCTGCCCCTCCCCTGCTTGTGTTCACTCTGTCTTTGTCAAAAAAAAAAAAAAAAAGAATAAAGTTTATTTATTTATTTACTTTTCAAATTTTTAATGAGTGTTTATTGAAAATCCTCAGCATAAAGTTTATTAATTTATTTTGAGAGAGACAGCACAAGTTGGGGAGGGGCAGAGAGAGGGAGGGAGAGAGAATCCCAAGCAGTCTTTGCAATGCCAGTGCAGAGCCCAGTGAGGCAGGGCTCAAACCCACGAAACTATGAAATCATGACCTGAGCCGAAAGCAGCAGTTGGGTGGGCACTTAACCAACTGAGCCACCCAGGCGCCCTGAAAATGTTAGTATATGTTGCAGGCTCCTCTCTCTGGTGGCACTTTACTTCTAAGTACTGGCAGACTTCAGGAGATTTTTTTCTGCCATTCGAGCCCTGTCTCATCTCCCAACCTTCTATACAACCCAGCATGCAACAAACGTCCTGTGGAGAAAACTGGCTACATGTTTGGGGCTCTTCCAGGTTTCATTCATTATGCCAACCCATGCAGCTATCAGGAAATCCACTAGTTTCTCTTTTCTCTGGTAGAGTTTCAGAGAGATAGAGTTGCTATGCCTATGCTAAGCCCAAGCCCCATGTTAAGGTCTAAACGAACAAATACCGTTATAGGAGACGAGGCAGTTCAGCTCCCTTGGGAGGACATTTCTGTCTCTGGAGTTTGATTTCAGTGATGGTTTTAACTGTCATTGCTTCCATAGATCTCCAGTATCTATAAAAAATGTGTGTTGATATGTATCCTTTTTTTCCCCATAGCTGCTGTAGCAGAAGTGATAGCTTCTAAACAGACTACTACATCTGCTTTGAAGCTCAAGTTTTTCCCCAGGCATTGAATATTCTTCTATGACTTAAATGGCTCTATAGCTTTCAAACATTTGTTGGAAATTTAGGGTACTTTTTCATCTTAAAACAAATATCCTTGTAACTGAATTTGGGAATACGTATTTGATGTTTTTCCTTAGTATAAATTCATAGATGTGTAATTGTGTGAACCATATGCATATTTTTAAAAAATTTACAATTTTGATATATATTGGTAAATTTCTGCCAAGAAATACTGTAGTAATTTACCTTGACAGTATGTGAGAATTCTTAATTCCTGTGGGTGATATATTTAATAACATATGACAGGATTTTATTTCTTTTGTAATATACCTGCATGTTATCTTAATCTCTAGGAGAACTCAGAAAATGTTAAGACTCTCCTCAATACTGAACTCATTGTTATGGAGTGCTATGAATCTTAGAAAAATATACATTATTGATGTTATTGGCATTTATATTTTGGTTAAAACATAAAAATATGTATTGTTCATGGCAACAGAAAAACAGATGTAAGCCAAGCTTTTCATTTTGGTTGGTTTTGGCACAGAGGAAGCCTTAAGACCATTTTTATTGATTAATTTGAACATGTCTTACCTTTTACATTTTTCCTTTAATATCTTTAAGAGAAATTCAATGTTCTTTGGTTTCAGGGGAGATGAAAGGATTTGTCTGTTGAAAATATTGCATATCTTGATATGAACCGGGAGAAAAGAAAGTATACAACTTGTTTCGTCCCCTATGCTCTTTTATTGGGACCTTCTGTTACCTCCAAACAAACAAAGAAACCGTTGAGACTTACATGAGTCAGAGACTTAAAAATCATGTCTTTTCTTTATAGGACTAGCTATGAATATCAGCACTCTGGATACATACTTTTTCCATTTTAGAATTGGGAAACACCTATACTTCTGGACAAATGCAAAGGTTTATTTTTTTTAACCACTTATCACTGTAATTTGTTTTATTTTTTAAAAAGCTACAGAATTTATAAGCGTCTTATGCCAAAACAGATTATATGTTGATGAATCATTTATTTATTTAGTTAGTTAGTTAGTTAGTTAAATTCAAGTTAGTTAACATATAGTGTAGTATTGGTTTCAGGAGTAGAACCAGGTGATTCATCTCTTACATATAACATCCAGAGCTCTTCCCAATAAGTGCCGCTCTCAATGCCCATCACCCATTAGCCCATCTCCCCTCCAGCAACCCTTACTTTCTTCTCTGTATTTAAGAGTCTCTTATGGTTTGTCTCCTCTGTTTTTATCTTATTTTCCTTCCCTTCCCTATGTTCGTCTGTTTTGTTTCTTAAATTCCACATATGATATTTGTTGTTCTCTGACTGACTTATTTCACTTAACGTAATACACTCTAGTTCCATCTACATTTTTGCAAATGGCAAGATTTCATTCTTTTTCATTGCCAAGTAATATTCAAGTGTGTGTGTGTATCACATCTATTGTGTGGTATATACACACACACACAGACACACATACATAAACATACTTTTAATCAGGTGATGGACATTTGGACTGTTTCCATAACTTGCCTATTGCCTGTTGTTGACAGCACTGCTATACACCTGGAGTGAATCTGCCCCTTTGAATCAGCATTTTTGTATCTTTTGGATAAATACCTACTAGTGCAATAGCTGGGTTGTAGGATAGTTCTATTTTTAATTTTTTGAGGAACTTATTTGCTATTTTCTAGAGTGACTGCACCGATTTGCATTCCAGCAGGCAAAAGTGTCCCCTTACTCCGCATCCTCGCCAACATCTATTGTTTCTTGAGTTTTGGTGGTTTTTTTTTGTTGTTGTTGTTTCTTGAGTTGTTAATTTCGGCTATACTGACAGGTGTTGGGGTGGTATCTCATTGTGGTTTTGATTTGTATTTCTCTCATAATGAGTGATGTTGAGTATCTTTTCATGTGTCTATTAGCCATTTGGATATCTTCTTTGAAAAAGTGTCTATTCATGTCTTCTGCCCATTTCTTCACTGGATTGTTTGGTTTTTTGAGTGCTTAGTTTGAAACGTTCTTTATAGATTTTAGATACTAACCATTTACCTGGTATATCATTTGCAGATATCTTCTTCCATTCCCTCAGTTGACTTTCAGTTTTGTTGATTGTTTCTTTTGCCGTGCAGAAGCTTTTCATCTTGATGAGGTCCCACTAGGTTGCTTCCTGTTTTCTCCTGTAGGATTTTGAGGGTTTCCCATCTCACATTTAGGTCTTTCATCCGTTTTTAATTTCTTTTGTTGGATGGTGTTTTTTGATCACCAGCAGCAATGCAGTTGGAAATTCCACCTCCATCACTATTTGAGCCAGCTCGTTAAGGTTAATACTTGATTTTTGTTTCCATTCAGAGATACTTGTTCTGCTTAAAAAATAAGGCCCATTAAAAGGACACGTGATCCTTAATATCCAGAAAAATGTACTTTTTCTTTCCTTTTGAAGTTTAACTTATCATTTTAAGTTATGGGAAATTTTGAGCATGTAGAGAAGCCAAGAATATGCTGGAATGCACACCACTGCGCCCACCACCACTTTTGCTATTCCTATCTTTTTGCTAAAAGATAGTTACTGATTTAAATGGGGATGGCTTTATCTTGGAATTGTAATGTATTTTTTCTACAGAGCTTTTTTGTTTTGTATTACCAAATGGTGATTCATTCAGTATGTAGTCCTCAAATTTCCTCAATTTATTAAAAATAAAGATTTGTTTTTCAGATCTGTCTCAAGCAGTTTTTAATAGTCACTAGGGTTTTGTTTTAATTTTCTTTTTCTTCATGCTCCCAAATGTAATAATTTGAATATTGTTGCCTGTTAAATGATACATGTGAGGAAACCCTTGGACTGAATCTAAGTGTTAACCTTGAAAATACAGTGGATGTGCAAACACTGAAGTCTTTTCAGATGCTGAAGTGTTTTTCTAAGGGTGGTTCTTAGTGTCATGCATATTCAGAAAAAGGTTCTTATTCTCTTGAGCCAAAATTGGTATGCACAGGCACAATCTCTGTTTTTCTTAATTTCTTAGTGCAATTGACATTCTTTATTTTGTTTCTGTATCACTCGTATGAATCTGATTGTTTCAGTGTGTTCCCTAGATGATCCCCTCATTGCTTTGTATATTTTTAAGGCTTTTTAAAAACTACTTTAAAAATAGTTATAGGGTTCTTATTTTTTAATTACCACTGCTTACACATGTGTACACACACACACACACACACACACACTCAGATTTCTGGTAGATTGTTGAAAAGAGGATTTTTTTAAAAGACAGAGGCTACTGTGATAAGGGTGAGCTAAGTAGGGGAATGCAGTGGAGCTAAGGGTGAGGAAAGGCAGTTTCTTAAGCATTAAATCCTAACAGCACATCAGATTCTGGGGTAAAGGCCAGTGGAATATATTTGCTTGCTCAGGCATTGAAGTTATGCAAACAGAAGCTATTGCACACCCAGAGTTTCATGATTGAGAAAGTAAACTTGTACATTTTTTTTTAATAGGTTCAAAAAGGCATTTGAATCTGAGCCATCACTACAGTCAGGAATTAATTACGCGGTCCTTCTCCTGGCAGCTGGGCACCAGTTTGAATCTTCCTTTGAGCTCCGGAAAGTTGGTAATTGCAGCTTGATATTTTACGTGGAAATCAAGAAACTGGACCCAACTTGGTACAAAGAAAAAGAATGGTTGATAGATAGACCCTTTGCTTTTTATCTTATCTGACTTCCTGAAAAAAAAATTACTACATCTCCTTGTTGAGTGTTTCCTGATTGTACCGAATCCTGACATTGGGATGTAATATGGCTTTTAGTTTATTTTACCTGTTTCTAAAAACCCCCTGGTTATTATTTATTCTTCCAGTGCAAAATACTATGGAATATATGGGCTCTGCATTCAGCCTCAACTCCCAAATAAGGTGTGTGTGGAGCATCAGAAACATTTCCTATTTTAGAGTTAGGGAAGGAGGAAGAAGGAGAAGAAGGAGAAGAAAAAAAAAAAAGAAGGAGATCTCTTGTAGTTTCTATTTCTGATTCCCGGCTACACCTTCCAGCACTCTGATTTCAGTAGTGTTGGAGGTGGAGCCTCCCTAAGCCCCCAGACCATCAGGCCAAGCAGATGGCAGTGTTGGCAGTGACCTGTCTCCTCAGAGACCTTCTCTGGATTGTAGCCATTGGCAGGGTGTGCTTTTGTCCCTTTTATCTACGGATCATCTCATCTTCTTTGGAATTTGAAGAATCACGGCATCTTAGTGAATAAATTTCATGTGATTTTCTTGGTTCTGGCTTTCATAGCATTTTTTAAGGTTTTACACACTAGAATACCATACTAGTATGGTAATGAGATTTTGCTCTGTGTCTAACCATTCTCTTTCAGGGAATCTTTCCAGCTTTTGTAGGAGTCATTACTACAGATCTAGAAATATGCCATATTTTTCATAGAGGGAAAAAATTGCTCTTAGTGAATCCATGGATTGCAGAAGAATCTTTTCCTTTAAGATTTTTAACTGGAGAATGTTTTTATTTAGTTTTCCTTCAAGAAAAATGAATTCTGGACTTTTTAAAAATTCTTGGGAAAGGCTTATAAAATATTGCCTTGATGGCAAATAAAGTTTGAGTATTAAGTTTTGAAAGGGCCGAGACTAAAAGAATGATAAAAATACTTGTTGCTACTGGAATGCACTGGTATTTAATGCACAAAGCTTTCTTTGAAATGATTTTTCAGTTGGTAAATGAAATCAGAGAAAATGCATTGCAACTTGTACTTTTCAGAAGTTATTATTATAAAAATATCATATCTAAGGTTGATTTTCAAATTGTACACTAGCCAGAATTCCTTATGTACTAGTGATCTAAAAATAATTTGTACTGCTATGTTCTTGACCTTAAGGTAAAGTTTTATTGAAGCCTCCAGATCATCGCAGGAATTGACGCTGATTTGCATGTGTTGATAGAGCAGTAATATCGTGGCTTGAAAACGTACCTATTCTAAATTCTCATTTTTAAGTTAAACATAGATTAAAATGATCAGCACTCTGCTAAGATAATAGATTTCATCACAAAAAAGAAATGATAGTTATGTGATATGATGGAAATGTTAGCTAACACCATGGTAGTAGCCATTTTGTAATATTTAAGTGTATGAAAGGAACACATTTTACACCTTAAACTTACACAATATTATATGTCACTTGTATATTACAATAAAGCTGAGGGAAAAGAAGAATGGCCAGCACTTTGAGGTTTGAGGAACTATAATTAATATAACTTTGTACAGAAAACATACTTTAACTTTTTTCCAAGAACTCATTCACAGTATATGTTGAACAGGCATTTCGAAGCATATAAAGTTGAATTTTAAATTTTGGAAAGTGCAAAACATATACAGACTTAAAATGTGACTTGACAATGAATTTTTAGCCACTTCAAGAATCAAGTTTTAGGTTTCTAAAATACTGTGATATACTCTCCAAATTGTATGTCCTGTATAACTAAAAGGCAATTAAAACTCATGAATTTAGATTGTACTCAATCATAAATTATGCTCGTAACCAGAGGCTGACCTAAAGCTAATTTTTTATGGCAAAATAGGATTAAAATAGTTTTCAAAGAAAAACACGAGTTAACTAAATAAATGAATAGGCTAATAGAATAATATATGTAAAAAATAAGATTAAAACACATCTTGCATATTTTAAAGGTATACTATTAAAAATCATTTTTAAATTCTCTGACCAAATTTCTTAGTAATTTATATCTTCCTATAATTCTTCTCTTGACCTCCTGGAGTTGTAAGATTAGCCTGAATTAGTGACTTCCCTTTAGTAATCAGACGTTTTTAAAATGAGATCTCTTTTTTAGATGCCTTTTGAAATTTTGATTTTTTTATAAAAGGTAAGCAATTAAAATTTAAGATGCCATAAGATAATTACTAAATTGGAAGTGTCCAAACATACCATCTTAAATTTAAGATCTCTACAGTAAGACACTATTCTTAACTCTCCTAATCTATTGCCCAAAGACTCTCGATTCTGGTCATGTGTATATTTGAGGTCAAGACTAAGTACTTCATGATCTGTGTTTTACTATCCCAGTTTTGAATAATCATTGATATTTAGACTACTTATAACTAGGATTTAAAACAGAACCACGAGGTGCCTGGGTGGCTCAGTCAGTTAAGCGTCTGACTCTTGCTTTTGGCTCAGGTCATGATCTCAGTCCTGAGATTGAGCCCTTTGTTGGGCTCTGCACTGGGCATGGAACCTACTTGGGATTCTCTCTCACCCTCTCTCTCTCTGCCCCTCCCCTGCTCATTCTCTCTCTCTCTCTCTCTCTCACTGTCTTAAAAAAAAAAAAGAAAAGAAGAAAATCCACAGAATCACATCTTACATGTTCTTCCTATTTCCAGTATCATAAGACTTAAAATTAATATTCAGATTTTACCTAAGTAACAGATTATTTTCCCATTTCTGTGTAATTTTTCAACTATGAGACATTTTGTGGGAGAGAGTCAGAATTAGGGGTTGATGATGTAATGATGATGTAATAAAAGAACAGGGTGCTTGGAATTGAGACAAACCACTATTTGAATCTCATTTTGGGGGAGCAATCCAAATGAAATCTGTATTATTACTGAATATAAAAGTCCATGATTCTATAAAGATAACTTAAAAAAGGAAATCAAAACAAAAACAAAATCCATCACCAACCATAACACAACTCATTTGTCATGAATAGATATGACCAGTTTCTCAGAAAATTGGAAATTATAGAGAAAAAATTACATCCCTTCCTTTCTTTTTTAAGAGACACCACAGCTCATCTAGTGGATGAGGTATAGCTCTTCTTTAAGTATCCTGCATGCTAAATGTGTTATTCCTCAGGAGAGGCTAGTCTTCTAAAGAATTCTAGTTAATGAAGTAGAGGGGATGTTAAGGCTAACAGTAATGTTGAAATAATGATCATCAGGACTAAAACCATTAAGTGAAAATGTTTATTTTTCTTTACTTTTGAGAGAGAGAAAGAGTGCACTCACGGGGGCATAGAGAGAGAGGTAGAGAGAGAAATCCCCAGCAGGCTCTGCACTGCCAGTGCAGAACCCAATGTGGGGCATGAACCCATGACCTCTGAGATTATGACCTGAGCCGAAACCAAGAGTTGGACACTTAATGAGCTGAGCCACCTGGGTGCCCCAGAAAATGTTTATTTTTAAAAAAACGTCATTTCACCGTATTTACATGATACCAAAGCTCACTCGCAGATTGCTTGTTAGCCACAGAGGACAAATGTGCCTGTAGAATCTGGTCTATATATGCCCTCCAGGGGTCCAGCTGTCAGCAGGCCAGCAAGAATCCCTGATAGTGAGATAGCCCAACCGTGCTTCTTCATGGAGGAACATGAAGTAAGCAGTGGCTCCTGTAATGTAGTCTCACCCAGATTTTAAGATCTAATGTTCAGTTTATAGCAGTGGCAGATAGACGACAGAAACATGTGTCAGATTCATGCCAAGGTGAAAGTTAAATGTCACTCTCATAATATGAACTTTTGGCATGTAAGCATATATCCGAAATTTTCTTTTAACACTGGTACTGTGATTTTCCTATTACACATTGTCATAGTCCCTATTTAAATGTTTGACATGATTTGTTGCTAGATCGATCCTCAGTTCATTGTTCTGCAAGCATGACACAATAAAAAGAACTCATTTTCAAATGAGATTAGTAGAGACATCTATTTTCAGAGTCTCATTTTCCCCATGCACATTCTTCTTTTCTTTGTATTCATTGACTTTTTTATTATACCTAGATAGGGCATCATGGATGTTGTTGCATACCTGTGTGTAATTTTTTCATCTTATGAAATTTTAAGAAGGCAAAGCTATTCTCTAACTTATTATCACAAAATGTGAAGGCTTCCCAAATGGACTTTTCTTTCTTTTTTTTTTTTTTTTCTTTTTAGAGAGATTGTGAGTGAGAGAGAGGGGCAAAGAGAGAGAGGAGGAGAAAGAGAGAGAGAGAATCCCAAATAGGCTCCATACTCGGCCTGGCACCTGACATGGGGCTTGATCCCATGACCCTGGGATCATGACCTGAGCTGAAATCAAGAATTGGGTGCTCAACTCACTGAGCCACCCAGGTGCCCCACAAATGGACTTTTTTCTTAAAATGCTCAAGGCTTAAGTGTAATTATATCATAAAAAGTGGCATAATGTTTTTAAGAGATTATTTTGTTTTGTTAAAGTATAATTTTCTCCCCAAATTCATTCTTCTTACGAAATATAAAATGGAACACTTGTAAAAGATTTTACTTAATTCCATTAATATGGAAAAAAGAGGATATGTTCAGTTCAGAGTACGTTTAAGAAGCTAGGGCATTCATAGATCAATAACAAAGAAATGTTAGGATAAGATTTCTGAGTTTGACTGAAAAAATAATTAGCCCCAATAGGTGATAAATCTTATGGATTATCTGTTTTACTAGACAAAAACTATTTGCATCTCTACTGAACAAAACATGCATGTTAACAAGTAAACTTATCTAAGTCTGAGATCTTTAATAAACAGTAAAGAGTGAACTTGCCACTTTCCCTAGATAGTCTTTGAGGTACCTGATGGCACTGTGAGATATTGAATGGTATGTCCCAGTTTTTTACCTTAGTCCCAAATCTCACATAATTTTCCTGATACTTTAATGTTGTGAATACTAGTGGAAATTAACAGCCCTACAAGGATATATTCTTTTTAAACAAACAAGGATTACAAATGCAAAAATAATACAAGGCAGAGTAGAGACACAAATTTATAATGAAATGGAAAAAACCCAGAAGAACCAAAACAATGTTGAAAAAGAACAAAGTTGAAGGATTTGCATTACCTAATTTTCAAATCTTGTTACAAAGCAACAGTAATCAAGACAGTGTTAGCTGTCACTTTCCATATTTCTTTAACTTTCTAAGTGTGTAATTGTTTTTGCATATAAAATTGTGATTAGTCATTGCCCAATGATACTCAATTATTAATTATTTTTAGTATTATTTTTTATAATTATTCCTTATTGGCCCAATTATACTAAGTTCTATGAGTGATAGAATTGCAGAATATTTCCCTTTCAAATAGCTGAAGAATCCTTGTTATTATAAGGGAAGCAAGGTGGTTACACAGCAAGGTGTTAGCACCTTTTAACTTATGCATTTACAGTGCAGACATACATTAAAATTCCAGAATGATGTACATCCAAGTGACAGTGGCACTTATTTTTGGACTCTGAAATTAAAGTGACTTTTTTTTAAATGAACTTAAACCCCTTTTATAATTGAAACTTAAAGCTATTTGAATCTGAAAGGAGGAAATAAAAACTTCCTGTATTTTAATAAAATGTCTGGCTTTTTTTTTTTTTTTTTTTTTTAATTAGAAAGGCTCTGCCTTGGTGCTGTGTGTTTGTAACATTGTCCTTCCTGTTGATCTTCCAGGAGTGAAGCTAAGTAGCCTTCTTGGTAAAAAGGGAAACTTGGAAAAACTCCAGAGCTACTGGGAAGTTGGATTTTTTTTGGGTGCCAGTGTCCTGGCCAATGACCACATGAGAGTAATCCAAGCATCTGAAAAGCTTTTTAAACTGAAGACACCGGCATGGTAATACTAAAATGTTATGTGTTTAAACAATTACTTTTAATAAACAACTCATCACTTATTTCCAAATTTTTATATTTGTTGAACTGATGATTAGATTGATTTTATTTGCTTCTAGAGTGAAATGTAGAATTTAGAGGAAAACCTGATGTTCATAAATAAAATGTGTTGAATATAGGTTCTGTTGATTTTTACATAGGTGAGGTCTGCTTACCTTCTTCAGCTTAGCCTTTTCATGACATTGACCAATCTGCTAGACCAAGTTGGCCAGTGTTACCCACACAAATCATGTGGAGGCCTCACCTGCAAATTGAATTGGTAGATTAACAGATTTTTATCTCAACCTTCCACATTTATGCCCCAAACATATGCCTTTTGTTCTCTTGATGATCTAATCTCAGTTTTGGGATTCTCATTCTTGATTTTCACTTCTTTATACTAAGGCTTGTTAATGCATTTAAATGTTTCCTATATGTGTGTGTGTTTCTAATTTCAAATTGTTCCTGGAGTGCCCCCAAGTCTCATCATTATGTTTGTGATAATTGAAGATATGAAAGCAAAATTCCATGTGCATTTAGGGCTGTTTTGAAAAACAATGCTGATTTTATTATGCATCATGTATAATGATCACTAGCTGTAAAACTTTTAAAAGGTTAACCATGATATCAAGGAAGGCTTCGGGCAGCTCAGAGCCTGGGCCACTGACTTGTTTTCATCAAAAGAACCACTTGAGATGCTTACCACTGTAGGTCCCCATAGCTTCCTAAAAGAATTCCTCATGTTCAGGTCTTCTCATTAGCAAATCCTCCCTAGTGTCACACCCACAGTGTGACATGTCTAAAAATCCATGTCTAAAAATCCATATCTGACCCTTCCCCTCCACTGAAATCCTTAAATCATTATAGTTTCATGGCTCCTTGCAGCCTAAGGGATAAAGTCCACCTCCTTGACTGGCGAACAGTGTTTACCTTTAGTCATTCCAGCCTCAGATCTTCTCACACACACACACACACACACACACACACACACAAACACACACGGTTATGGTTACACTGCTCTCCAGTCACATGGAATGTGGCAGACTATGGCTTCATACATTTGTGTCTCATCTCATGCTGAGAAGGCCTCTTCCGGGGATCTTCTCCACCTGGGTACCTTCCTAAGTCTGCCCACAAACCAGGCTCCGACTAAAACCTGAGTTTTATCCTGATATCCTGAGTCCAGATAGAAGCAGGTGGGTGTTGTTGCATACACACATATGATTAGTTCATCTCATGAAATCTTCTTTCATGTTTGTCATTTTTAAATCATATTTCTATTGATAGTGACGATATGTATGACTTGGGTTAACTGTATCTGTGTAGTGGTAGCCCCACTGATATTTAGGTCGCTGAGCTATACCTTTTACATTCCTGTCTACTCAGCACTGTGTGCTACTTAGGAACAGGGCTGTACTGTCAGTGCAATGTCTACAGTAGGCATTCAGTAAATGACATGAAATAAATGAACCAACAAATGCCTGTGTTACATGCAGCCAAATTTGTCATTTCTTTACGGTGATCTTTCTGATAGTCCAGAAGAGGGCTGAAGCACAGATCCAAAGAGCTTTGGTTTGAGGTGTCCCAGCTTCTGTTGACAAGAAAGCAGATATTATTTTATGCAATAGTAATAACCACAAAACAATGCCTTAAGATGTCTACTCAGGGGGCGCCTTGGTGGCTTAGTCGGTTAAGCGTCCGACTTTCGCTTAGGTCATGATCTCGCGGTTCGTGGGTTCGAGCCCCGCGTCGGGCTCTGTGCTGACTGCCAGCTCAGAGCCTGGAGCCTGTTTCAGTCTGTGACTCCTTCTCTCTCTGACCCTCNTCTCTCTCTGACCCTCCCCTGCTCACGCTGTCTCTCTCTCTCTCTCTCTCTCTCCTAGAAATAAATAAAACATTAAAAAAATTAAAAAAAAAAAAAAAAAGATGTCTACTCGGTTAATGTTAACATCCATGCTTTTAGTTTATGAAGTACCTGCATACCCATTAACTCATATAATTATCTTGCTCCTCATTTCTTCCCTAACTTTTTCCTTTGAGGCACCATCTGTCTCGTTAGGTTGGAGTGTATTTTTATAATATATAAACCGAGTTGCTTCAAAGCAAAATAATGATCTCTTATGAAAGGTCTATTTAGAAAAGCTTCCTCAAGGAAGCATATTTTAAAACATTTTAAAGCATTAACCACTCCCTTGAATAAAAGATAGGCATTATTGTAAAAGTCATTTTTTCAACAGATGCATCATTGTGGTCCAAGCTATTTAAGCCCTCTGCCCCTCAGTTTCCTCATCTTTAAAATGAGGATATAACAGCCTACTTTATTGACTTTTTGTGAGACATAGAGGAGACAACTTAATGGGAAGGTACATGGCATGTAACAAATAATACTATTTGGTGAATCTGAATACATAAATATTAACGCTATATTTAAATTACATTCACAGACTAAAGCTGGGATACGTGGGAACTGGTGGTTCTAAACTTGCCCATGATGTGTGTTATATCTTTTCATCTTTAGGTACCTCAAGTCTATCGTAGAGACAATTTTGATATATAAGCATTTTGTGAAACTGACTACAGAGCAGCCTGTGGCCAAACAGGAGCTGGTGGACTTCTGGATGGATTTCCTGGTGGAGGCCACAAAGACAGATGTGACTGTCGTTAGGTTTCCGGTGAGTACTCTTCATTTATCTTAACTTTAAGTGCATTTCTATTTTGTTTCTTTTATTTAAAGAACATCTCGCACTGTGATTTTAATAGTACTAGCGTTACTTTTTCAAAATAACTCCTCGAAATCAGAGAAGTGAGATACATCTTTATGTTTTAGCCATGACATTTGGAGATTTCTTCCGATAAGTCGTGAGGTGTGCTTTCCAAGAAAAGATGGTCTCTTGCTTAGCTCGGTTAGTCAACGTACCGCATCAGACCAGACACAAGGGTGCTGTTAATTCGTATTACAGTTTTGTTAACATTGTCATCAGTATCATCACCACTACTGTGGTGGAAAGTGTCAGGCTCACCTGGGTTGTTATTCTATATCCACTACTCATTACCCGCATGGGTCAGAGTTAGATTCAGCGTCCCCCGTCACTACTTACAATGCCTTAGATCATGGGAAATGATGACTCACGGGTTCCAGTTTGCAACTCATTTTGGCCAGATATAGATACAGATACATGTATAGTAGACACACACACACACTTTTAAAAATACATTGCTCATCTTCTCAGCTGATGCCTTTCCCGTCCTGATGGTTCTCAGAATGCCACCCAGCGCAGTGTAAGCTTTAGCATCTAATTCAAGAATTACCAAGTCACTGTGTGCACTAATCTCTTCCCACGTCAGAGTGATGCCATGAAGCTCTGAGCTCTCTAGTCCAATCCTCCGTATTCAGGTGATAGCTGCTCTCAATTCTTTTTCTCTAATTCTTGTTTTCCAGCTCTTGTTTGTAGGATCATCTGTTTCATTTCATTACATCTTTACTCTTCCTTCCCAATGAAGCCTTAGGCTCAGCAGGATCTTCTTTGCAAAGCCTTTCAAACTAAAACACTTTGTTTTCTAGTCTAGATAACGTGTAGCGTAGGAAAATACTTATCTCAGAGTGAGCTGGCAGCGTGCCTTCAGCTGATGCTCTGATGATAGCAAATGTGGGGAAAGAAGACATCACAGAACTGAAGTATTTAATAGACTGTTGACTTGATTGAATAGGAAATCAGCTATGAAAGGAAACCACTCATATTAGCTATTCTGAGCTAATTTAAGTTAGTTTGATGTGAATTTGTCTGTCATAATAGGAATATAAAAAAATAAAACTAGAAAATAATAAGAGAGACATTAGGACAATATAGGTATATACTCTAGGTAAGAGAGACTTTCTTAATTAAGTAGGAAAAGGACCTGTAAGCCCTAAAGGCAAATATTGACCAATTCGATTTCATTAAAAATTCTAACTTTTGTTCAGTGAGGAACATCATAAACATGGCAAATGCTAGACAAGGAGAAAATATTTAATATTAATGCAGCAAAATGATCAATTTGCTTAATATGCACAAAGAAAAAAAAACAACTACTAATTGGAAGCAAGAGAAAAAGAAAATGGGCAAATCACATGAAACGATAATGAACCTCACTGAATAGTCAAAAACTGCAAATTAAAATGAGACATTGTACCTGTGCCATTTTGCACATGTGCACATCTACCTGTAGGATAAATTCCCAGGAGTAAAATTAATTGATATTGCCACCGTGCCCTCCATCGGGATTATATCAATTGGCGTTCTCACTGGCAACATACAAGACTGAATACTTTCCGAAAGTCTCTCCCAAAAGGTGTGTTTATTATATTTGTACTTTTTTAAACTTAGAGATGAAAAACTGGTATATTAGGATGATTAGTATTTCTCCTATTATGTGTCGGGTTGTGCATATGATTAAGTTCATGTTTAAAAGTCTACTTAGTGATAGGGTACGTGTGTGGCTCTGTCAGTTAAGCTCAGGTCATGGTCTCGTGGTTTGTGGGTTCGAGCCCCCTGCATCAGCGTCTGTGCTGATGGGTTGCGGCCTAGAGCCTGCTTTGGATTCTGTGTCTCCTTTTCTCTCTCTGCCCCTCCCCCACTTGCGCTCTGTTTTTCTCTCTCTCAAAAATAAATAAGATTAAAAAAATAAATAAAAGACCCCTCAGTGTTTAAAATAATAATAATTTGTTGGCAACATTTAAAAATAAGGAGAGTTGGGGGTGCCTGGGTGGCTCACTCAGTTAAACATCCGACTTTGGCTCGGGTCGTGATCTCACGGTTCGTGGGTTCGAGCCCCACATTGGGCTCTGTGTTGACAGCACAGAGCCTGGAGCCTGTTTCAGATTCTGTATCTCCCTCTCTCTCTGACCCTCTGCTCACGCTGTCTCTCTCTCTCTCAGAAATAAATAAAACATTAAAAAAAAGAAGTATTTTATTTGACTGTTTCCGTGTATTTCACTACCCTGACCGTTCTCATTCCTCTAAGAAATAATAGTGACCCTGGTAAAAGAAAACAGACAAAAGCTTCTATGCAAAATGATTTGAATGGTCCCATCAGTTATTATTATTTGGGTTCATTCAGTTCAGTTGATTCTTTTTTCTCACCTCTCTTCTATGTATATTTTCTTTCCTTCCTACATTGAAAAGTTAGGAGACCATCAACCTATCAGCCCAGGCTAGGTGAGCAGAAGAGGAGAATGATGCTTTTGTGGACTCTTATAGGAGCTGAGACATGTAACTCTGTTAAATATCTACTCTGTATATGGGGCACCTGGGTGACTTAGTTGGTTGAGTGTCCAACTTCAGCTTAGGTCATGATCTCACAGCTCATGGGTTCGAGCCCTGCATCAGGCTCTGTGCTGATACCTCCTAGCCAGAAACCTGCGTTGGAGCCTGTGTCTCCTTTTCTCTCTGCCCCTCCCCTGTTGTGCTCTGTGTGTGTGTGTGTGTGTGTGTGTCTCTCTCTCTCAAAAACAGGTAAATATTAAAAAACTAAAAAGAAATCTATTCCATGTAGCTTATAGGCCTTATACTGCCTTTGTTCCCACTTCAGATACAAGGAGTTAGCAGTTAATTTTAGTTTTTTAAATTTTATTTAGCAGTTAATTTTAATGTTAACCAATATAAAAGATTAGAAACTAAAAGCATGAATGTTTATACTTTCAAGTGAGTTGTATCTAGCTGGTTTTGTCAAATTGCCTCTTTTTCCTTCTCTCATCTCAGTCTTTCTGTGAACTCTATAATGTATGCCATAAATTCCTCCCATTTTGTCATTTCAAGGGCAGATCAAAGGGCTCAACAGATGTTAGACGATGATAATTACAACCAATTTTTATTCCCTATCTCAACATAGGAAAACATAGGTCAGATTTTATCTGTTAGAAGTATTTGAGACAACAATAAAGACATAATTTAAGAAGAGAGGAGATAACCTGGTGCTGTGTTTTCTAATGTTAAATTGTGTGCCCACATGATTAAGGAAAAAGGTATATTCTCATTTGTTGGTATATTGACTTGGATGCTAGTTTGGAAGACCCACCTTTTATTCCCTATTATTTATTTTCATTTCACAAACACTAGGATACTCAGATTGGAAAGCACCAATTCTGCCAAGTTTAGATTGAAAATGTATTTCCATTTCCAAATTTATTTCACTCTCTGTTGATTGGAGTTTGGACCTTGACTTACCAGGTTGTTTCCTAAATCAGAATATGTTCCCTGGTGGGCTCTTACTGTGCATTATTTGTAGTCTTTTCTACCTTATTTTCGTAAGTAGAGCCTGGCCAAGAATTAAGCCCTTACAGTTTTTTTTATAAGTAGAGAAACTTCTGTCTTCCTAATTCCCTTTATGTAATTCTCTGTACCCTAATTTAAATAAATTTACTGCTGTGATAAATATAGCATAAAATCAGGAGCGTGTGGGTGGGTCAGACGGTTAAGCGGCCGACTTCAGCTCAGGTCATGATCTCGTAGTTTGTGGTTCGAGCTCTGCATTGGGCTCTGTGCTAACAGTTCGGAGCCTGGAGCCTGCTTCAAATCCTGTGTCTCCCTCTCTCACTGCCCCTCCCCTGCTCATGCTCTGTCTCTCTCTGTCTCTCAAAAATGAATAAAACGTTTAAAAAATTTAGAAAATAAATACTGTAAAATCAGCACTAGGTTTGCAGTGCATGGACAAGAATCAGGTTGCTAATCCATGTGCCTTCTTGCTCAGATTGTGTGTGAGATCACAGTGTAGTGTGAGCCCATAATCCCTTGCTGATAGAGTCTTCCGGAGGGTTTTTCCGCCACTTTTATTTGGTCCCCTTGCTTGATAGAACATTCTGTCTAAAAGCCACTTTTCTTGAGTTTTAAGCAGTGGGGAAGAAAGAACTATTCTAGTTTCTCCATTAGTTTAGTGTTGGGTTTCCTTTCCATGAGAGACTCTTGAATGCTGAGAACAAACTGAGGACTGATGGGGGTGGAGGAGAGGGGAAAGGGGGGAGATGGGCATGGAGGAGGCACTTGTGGGGATGTGCACTGGGTGTTATATGGAAACCAACTTGACAATAAACTATTTAAAAATAAATAAATAAATAAATAAATAAATAAATATTCCTACTTAAGACTGCATGGGAAATTTGAGTGAGTAGGCACTTTTAAGCGTCTGTACAAATAGTAGTTGAAGCACCTTTAAAATTAGTGCATGTTTGGCATTTTGATGTTATTTGTACCTTTTATCAGATATTAGTAATAATATACTATATCCTTTGAGAGAGATTTTCAGCTCACTTATTACATATCCCTCATACATCTCCAGAACAGGAGTCAATTTTATTTCTCTCTTTTTCTCTCACAAGGCTAAATATATCATAAGTGAAGATCCCAGTTTTATCTTTAAGCAGTGCAAAACATTTTTATTACTTCATACAGCTATGTCCATTCCTTTGCCTTATATATAAAACTCTTTCAGTAATAACCAGAATCATTTCTCAGTCTATTTATGTGGGTATGAAAAACATGCTACCACATCTTGATGATAAGGTGTGGCAGGAGAAAACCTAAAATAGTATGTGACACTCTATATATAGAATCTTTTCTATGTTCAGAATTATTTACCACATTTCTGCCCTTTTTTGGACACATTTATATTTATAGAAATAAATTATGGGTTTATTGCAAGATAAAATAAGAGAATTAAAAAATATATCATAGAAGGGGGACCTGGGTGGCTCAGTCAGTTAAGTCCCTGACTCAAGTTGTGATCTCACAACTCGTGAGTTGGAGTCCTGCGTCAGGCTCTACACTGACAGCACCACGCCTGCTTGGGATTCTCTGTCTCCCTCTCTCTCTGCCCCTCTCCCTGCTTGCACATACTCTCTCTCTCTGTCTCAATAATAAATAAGTACACATGTAAAAAATAAAAATACATCATTAGAGTAGATTAGTTGCGAATAGCCAAACCAATACATAGACTTTAAAAATTTATTTCCAATTTCTCTAGCAAACAAAAGTGATGTATTATTGGAACTTACAGTAATACCAGAAAATGCTCAAAGGACTCATAGGGAAGGGCAACAATTAGGAATTAAAGTGGTTTTACTGTAGCAGTGGCCCCAGAGCCTCATCTGATAACCTCCCACATCAGTGCAGTGTTGTTGCAATAGCTCTAAATGATTTAAATCTGAAGTCACTAATACTTGTTTCTTTGCCTTATGTTTTCAAGGTGTTAATATTAGAACCAACCAAAATCTATCAGCCTTCATATTTGTCTATCAACAATGAAGTTGAGGAAAAAACCATATCTATTTGGCACGTGCTTCCTGATGACAAGGTAAGTTGTGTAATTAGTAAGACACAGCATTAATTATAAAGGATTTTACTCCCTTCTAGCATTTATATATTCCAGCAAATACCTGTGTTAGTTAAGAAGAAATAGCTTACTGTATATTTATCTTAGCATAAATACTTATATCCTGTAATATAAAAATTGTTAAACATGGGATGTGAATTTCACTCATTTAATAAAATAACTGAACCTATTTAGATTTTTATTTTAGATGGCATAACCATCCAAAGTAAGCTTAGAAGATTACTGTTTTGTAAATTCATGCTATAAATTAAATTATGTGTCAGAGAACTGATACTTAAAATATATGACTTATAAGATGTATATCTTTTTTAAAAATGATATTTATTTATTTTGAGAGAGAGAGAGCAAGTGTGCATGAGCAGGGGAGGGGCAGAGAGGCAGAGGGAGAGAGACAGTCCCAAGCAGGCTCTGCCCTGTCAGCATGGAGCCCAAAGCATGGCTCGAACACCATAACCTGGTGCTGAGAGAGCATGAGCAGGGCGGTGCTGTCCCGGCTTTCAGAAGGTCCTGAAATGCTCTCATTTCCACTGTTAGCAGCCATCTGGACAACCCTTTCCACTTCTGCATTTTATCAGTTTTTTTTTCTTTTTTTAAAAAAAAAATTTAATGTTTATCTATTTTTGAGAGAGACAGAGACAGAGGGTGAGTGGGGAAAGGGCAGGGAGAGAGAGGGAGACACAGAATCTGAAACAGGCTCCAGGCTCTGAGCTGTCAGCACAGAACGGGACACGGGCCTTGAACTCACGAACTGCAAGATCATGACCTGAGCCAAAGTCAGATGCTTAACCGACTGAGCCACCCAGGCGCCCCTGTATTTTATCAGTTTTAATGCATATACAAATACTACTATTTTTTAAAAATAGAAAAATTTCAAAACTTCATTCCAGTCCTTAGGATAAACCATAGAAATTTGAGAAGACTGTGGCAAAGTAGTTTTGTGAGGTTTTTGGTAATTGTTTTCCAAAATACCCTTATAGTTTTCCTTATCAGTCATCCATGCACTCAGCAAATATTTACAGAGCACTTACTCTGTGACAGTCACTACCAGGCACTAGAGAAACAGATGTGTACAAAATAAGCAAAATTCCGCCTTTCTATGAAGGCAATACATAAAATATAGAAGTGTATTAAATGAGGAATGTGACACAGCACAAAGAAGGAATTAGGAAGTACATTTAGAGAAATGTTAGTTTCAGTGTTTTTAAATGTCTTTGAGTCGACAGTCCTGGGTTCAAGTCCCATCTCTTCCCTTGGCAATGTGGCTTCTGCACATTGCAGTATCTTCATCCATAGAATGAGATAGTAATAATAATATCCATCTTAAAAGGTTATTGTTAAAAGTAAATGAAATATTATAAGTAGGGTATATTGCACAAAGCCTGGAATGTAATAAGTAATCACTATATTTTAACAGCAACAGTAAAATTATGACAATACACATATGAACTAAACCCTAACATTAACCTTAGAACTTACCCTGGCTTATTAGCTCTTTAGGTGACATAGCAGCAATCATTTGGGAATTTGTTGGTATTATATTAGGGCACCATGATACTGAGATTTATAGTAAGAAATAAATATTTGGTCTTTATCTCTTTCTGGCACAGATTTCCTAAAATCCTTAGAATTTCCTAAGTGCTACAAGCCATCTGTTTTTTTGTTTTGCTTTTTTGTTACATTAATAAGGTGACTTTTGGATCCACCTAAGAATGAGACCAGGTTGCTAAGAGCACTAACTATAGAATTAGAGGGTTAGAACTTCCAGTCCTACCCCCTGACCTTTGGGGAGGGGAAAGGAGAGAGGTTGAATTAATCTCCAATGGCCAATGGATTTAATCAATCATACCTATGTCATGAAGGCCCTATAAAAACCCCAAAAAGGATGGGGTTCAAAGAGCTCCCTGGTGGGTGAAGATGTGGAGATTTGGGGAGAACGGACCCCCTGGAGAGGGCATGGAAGCTCTTAGCCCTTTTTCCATACCTTGCCCCATGCTATTTCCTGAGTCATACCCTTTTATAATAAATCCACAATCTAATAAGTAAAATGTTTTCTTGACATCTATAAGCCTCTCTAACAAATTCATCAAACACAAGGAGGAGGGTCCTTGGAATCCCCAATCGGTAGCTGGCATGATGACATAATTCCAAGTGGAGTTGTTTAGAGACAGAATTGAAAATAACTAATGTAACTAATGTAACTATGTATATATGTTGTTAACATTGTTTTGAAGTACACAGTGTGTTTACATTATTTTAAACTATATGTGTATATGTTCTGACAAGCAGAATTGATCCTCCAGTTGAAACTACAAAATCTAAAGAGAGGCTAGGAAACATGAACATTATTATCTGAGAGAGGAACTTTTCAAAGGCTAGATTGGAAAGAGCAAGGTTATCCAAGGACACTTGGAAACAGAATGGGGCTAAAGGAATTAGCAATTAGCAGGGCCAGGAGAATGAGTGGACAGCCAGAAGACAGAAAAAGAACAGAAAGTAAGCCAGAGATTTTTGGAAAATGAGTACTGTTTCCAGCTAGTTGTCTGGAAGTTCTTTGTTGAGTACCGTTAGCCTTGTATTGACTCTTCTGTTTTGTGACATTGATAGTGACAATTTTTATATTATGCTAAGAAGTAAATATATGAGGATGTAAAAGAGTGCATTAAGAAGAGTTATGGATTTATGGGGCGCCTGGGTGGCTTAGTCGGTTAAGCGTCCGACTTTCGCTTAGGTCATGATCTCATGGTTCGTGGGTTTGAGCCCCGCGTCGGTCTCTGTGCTGCCTGCCAGTTCAGAGCCTGGAGCCTGTTTCAGTCTGTGACTCCCTCTCTCTCTGACCCTCCCCTGCTCACGCTGTCTCTCTTTCTCTCTCTCCTAGAAATAAATAAAACATTTAAAAAAAAAAAAAAAAGAAGAGTTATGGATTTAGGCTGTGAGTTGTCCAGTTTCTACTTTATCATCCTTTGATCAAGAAGAATTACATTTGCATTGTCCCCGCTTTGCTAAAAATTCTGTGTTCAAAAATTTAAGCTTTTTTTAAATATGTTTCCATTTGAACGTATGTCGGTTTCTTTGCAAAGCCTAACTGTATCCATAGCGTGTTTGTTACCACTGTTATCTCCCTATTATTTAAAATAGAAGTGATGCCATTGGAATGAGGACAAGCACTAATATAACTTTTAATATAATGTGAGTTTAAAGCAACTATAATAAGTATAATTAAATAACAGATGAACAACAACAAGTTCAACAAGAAATGGATTCTTTTTGTCACACAATGTTTTAAATTTTTTTCTAAGGGTAGAATAGAGAGTGTTGGTTTTCATTTATCATGTTTCTTTCTTTACTCCTCAGTATTTTTGTTCTAACATGCAGAATGAACAATTACGTGAGCTAGTATACACTTCATATTGCAACTGTCAAAATGTTAAGATCATTATACCAATTCACAAGAGTTCAAGGACTTTTAGAGGGTTATTCTGCATCAAGAACAAAATCAATTGAAATCCTAATCTTTTAACAGTTCTCTCTTTGTTCAATGGATGGTTGCTGCCTAAAGTCAAGTTAGTACTTGAAGAAAGTCTGGCTGTGCACAGGAAAAGAAAAGCTTAGACTGAGGAAGAGAAAAGTTATTTCTAAGATATTTTTAAATGGTTGTCATTTAGCATCCCTTCCTCTTTTGTTTTTCAATTAAAAAAATAATGTTTATTTATTTTTGAGAGACAGAGAGAGAAAGAATGGGAGTGGGGAGGGGGAGAGAGAGAGAGGGAGACACAGAATCCAAAGCAGACTCCAGGCTTTGAGCTGTCTGCACAGAGCCCAACGTGGGGCTCAAACTCATGAACTGTACGATGGTGACATGAGCCAAAGTTGGATGCTCAACCAACTGAGCCTCCCAGGCGCCCCTAGTATCCCTTCCTTTTCTGAAGTCTAAGCAGTCCTGGCCTATTCTGGTGTCTCTCAGGGAAAGATATCAGGCAGCAGGGTCCCCATGAAATACGAAGTGCTGACTTTCCTCCAGCTCTAGCCATGGCCATTCAGAGAACACCTGGGAAATTTATGAGGGGGAATTTATTTACCTCAGATTCTATATTTTTTTTAAAGAGAGAGAGAGAGAGTGCAAGCAAGCGACCAGGGGAGAGAGGCACAAGAAGGAGAGAGAATCCCGGTTTGTGGAGCCTGATTCAGGGCTTGATCCCAGGACCTTGAGATCATGACCCAAACTGAAATCAAGAGTCAGACACTCAACCAACTGAGCCACCTAGGCACCCCAGGTTCTAGATTTGGATCATATGATAGTCGCATCCATCAAGGATGCTTGTAGCTACAAAGTGGCTTAAGTAATAAGGAAATGTTATCTTACCTAACAAGAACTTCTAGGAGGTAGGAGGTCATTCTGCAGGTAATTTCAGTGGCTTAACAGTGTCAGAATTCTGAATTGGCTTCTCTCTATGCTCTTGGTTTTTTCTCTCCTGGTCTCAAATAGCAGTTCCAAGCATCAATTCACATAGACAGCGTCCAGAAGAATAGGGTCAGGCTCTCTCCTTTGTACCAAAAGCTACAACATGTATTCATGCCTACACCAGTCATGAACAAGGAGAATGGACCTACCTCACCAATTTGGACCAATCAATTTCCCCATCCCTAAACACTGCCACCTGAACTTGAACAAAATTCAGTTTTTGTTAGCAAAGAAGGAAAAGCATGTCCGTTGTCTGTGGAAACAGCAGTGTCTGCCAGTGCATAACTCCTGCCACCTTAGCTCAAAATTAATTCCCAGTCCCTACTCTTGTCCTAGCTGGGGCATAGGATCTGAGGCAAACCAGTTCCACAGTATGGTACTTGTGCTGTTTCAATGAGATTGAGTGTGGTTTAGGGCTTGTTGAGCCTAATTATTCCAGCCCTACCTCTGGTTGTCTCTTTCCCGGGATTCCCAGACAGGCCCCAGGAACCTTTTACTCCACCTGTTGTCTTTATAACTCACCAGCGCCTCCATGTGGTGAGTCCCAGTAAGGTGGGAGCTGGGGAGATGGGCCTCCTCATTCTATATCACTCCATCTCAGACGCTGGGCTTTTTACACTATTTACACGGAACATTCACTGGCAGCACTTGAAACCTTTCAGGAATCAACATTCTGGAAATGCTGTTCTCTTTTCCTATAAAACCAGCCCAGCCAATCTGGGAAATCCCTCCTTGGCTGTTCCCAGCACAGGGCTGATAGAAGGTAGGTTTTTACCAGTGCTGCCGTATGGGTGTTCACCAGCTGCCCTGTTTAGATGCAAGTTTGCCTACTGCTCTATTAGTTTTGCATTCCGTCCCCACCTCCTGATCCTGGACATGGCCTTGGAAAGCAGCTCAGCTGCCGGATCTGAGGATAAGGCTGCATCATATGCAAGTAGTGTGCAGGTAACAGCTGCAGTTCCTGGGTCACATATATTTAGAAGGTCACCTGAGGCCAACAGGATTTAGAAGCAACTTTCCAAATTACCAGCTGAAGCTGCAGGCTGCTATTTTCATTTAACTCCCTTTGTACTCTGGTTAAGAGAGCCACATTCCATGAGCACCTTTCTATGGTCTCTTCCTTCCCTGGGCTTCATGCACAGCATTTGCTCTGTGTTAATTCAGGTCACATTCCCATGACCTGACTGGTGTGCATCGAAACTGTTTTTTTTTTAGTAAATCTCCTATGGGCTTGGGAGGACCTATTTTTATTTTAAGTTGCATGGTTCTAGCAAAGAACTAGGTGCTGTGGTTATAAATTGTGGCTTTTTGATTTGCTTCAGCCAAAAGGAGAGTTCTGGTCCACCTCAGAACCACAGGCTTCCTTACTCATTTCACTACCCCGGCCAAGACCGCAAATTCTGGGCAGTATTTTAAGTGGGTGGGTAAGAGCTTCTTTTCCTGGTTGTTTCACATTTACAGAGTTGAATTGCTGTCTGAATTGACTGTTGTCTAGCACTTGCTAAACTTGGACATGGGTAGCCACTATTTTATTTCATATATGTATGTTGTCAATTCCATATTGTTATCAGACGTATTTTTGTAGGAATGTCATCCATCATGTAATTTATTTGAAGATGTGAATTTAATACTAGTCAAACTTAACTTTAGTAATAAACTCAAAAAATAAATTTCCACAATTTTTTTCACTTTGGCCCCACAATCATCCATGTTTATCCTATGACAATCAGATTTTGTATGTCTAAACTTTATTAGTGTATTGAATTTTGCATAAATGAGATAACACATTGTAGCTAAGATGTATACTATATACATGTGTATACATATATACTTGCTATAGGGGCGCCTGGGTAGCTCAGTTGGTTAAGCAACTGACTTCCTCTCAAGTCATGGTTTCATGGTTTGTGAGTTTGAGCCCTGTATCAGGCTCTGTGCTGATAGCTCCGAGCCTGACGCCTGCTTCAGATTCTGTGTCTCCCTCTCTCTCTCTTCCCCTCCCCCACTTGAGCCCTGTCTCTCTCTCTCTCAAAATTGAATAAACATTAAAAAAATTTTTTTAAAGGGCTAACCTCATATATACTTGCTGTGTTATTTTCTGAAGTAATAGAACCACCATTTCAGTTAGAAAATTAGTTCAATTCATAAAATAATCAACTTTAAAACCTTGCAGAACTTTATTCAAATTAATGTTTTTCTTTCTCAGAAAAGAAATATTACTCAGCTATAATAATTGAATTACCTTAATCACTGGGTTTTTTATCTGAAAAATTAAGGCACAGCAGTTGTTAGGTTAATCTGCTAAAAATCAAGTTTTATAATTTAATGAGACTAATTCTCCTAGATTTTCTTGGAAGCTGTTTTATTGAAACACAGAAATTATTAAATAGAGTAAACATCACCCTTGTGGCTTGAAAATGAATTACAGTTTCCATCCAGATAATTTGTTCATGAAGAATTATGCACTAGGAAAAATTACTGTGTATATCATTTTAAAATAATGAAACTAAATTATTATGTTATTTTCGTTAGGATGACTCAACATTTGTTGTTCTTGTTGTTCTTCCCCTGTGTTCTAGAAAGGTATACATGAGTGGAATTTTAGTGCTTCTTCTGTCAGGGGAGTGAGGTAAGTTTCCTTGGTACTTTTTTTTTTTTTTTTTTTTTTTTTAGAAGACAATAGGACTTTTAGTCAGGATTTAAAAATGCAAAGAACTTCAAGAATCCTCTGTTGCTGAAAATGCTCAACCTTTTCTATCTCCATTATAAAAAGATTTGCAAACAAAACTTTCACTGTTTGTTGAACTAACTCTGTGCTTGTTACCTCCTTAAAATATGGAGAATGAAGAATTAATGTGGTTGCTGGACCAGAATCAAGGTGTAGATAAAAGTGAGTTATTTGGGTCCTGTCGAGCTGGTTGAGCTGCTGGTGTATGTGATAGGATGGTTCTCTGGTCTTTTGGTTCCAGGAACTAATCTCTTGTTAGGTGGAGCCAAATGACTGCATGCCATCTATCAGACTGTATCCTGTAGTTAATATTAATGTGACTGTTAAGGAGACTATAAGGAATTCATTTTTTTGAAAGCTTTTCCTGAGGTTGCTTTAATGAAGTGTTCTTGAGATTCTAGCGGCTCACCTCAGTGGTTCAGTTCTGACATGGCCACCAGAATGCCAGCGGCTCAGGAAATACTAGTTCCTGGGATATAGAAACGGGATTTTTTTTTTTCCCAGAACCAGGAGCCACTGGTTAAACATGTAAAATACTTGTTATATAGAAGCTCGGTCTAAAAACCAACTCTTGGAAATTTCAAGCCAAATTAGTTGTGTTTACTATTTATTTCCACATAATAGAAATGACAAGAAACAGATTTCTGCAGGCCAGTTATGCAATACCCTGCTGCTTTGGGCATAATAAGAATGGGTTTTGTTGGAGCATGAACTGCTAGAGCCGTCTGAGTCACTGATAATTGGAGTTTGCCTGGTAAAACCACCTGTTACCTCATGAACGATCTGAACAGAAACAAGCAAGATAATAGACTGACTCATTGTATATCTTTCCAAAGCATGCCTTCTCAAATAAAATTTTACTCTCTATTAATATTTAATTTTTAAAACCAGTCATCAGTAAGGCACTCATTTATTGCTGCATTTTAAAGCGATTTAGGAAAGTAGGGAAATATAAATTCCACTTTATCATATCTATTTTCCAATGAAATTTTTTTTTAATTTAAGTATGACATCACTACATAAACCTTTGTTGTGACTTACAGCATATACTGCTTCTCTGTGGCTGATGCTGGGTTATATGTTGAGAAAAGCATAAGCTGTAGTGTATGACTTCAAAGAGAGCTAATTACTCTCGGCTTCCTTCTTTATAAAGAGATAACAAGCTACAGAAAAACATACAACTAAGTCAGCAGTTTGTCTTGCATCACCTCAGAACTTGCTCAGCTCAGTCAGCGGGCATTTAACTGAGCACCAGGTGCGTGTAAGTGTTGAGGCCTATTCTGCTAAGAATACAACAATGACTACGACATGAACTCCCACTCTCAAAGTGCTCACAACCCAGCCTCATAATATTTAACAACTAATAACAAGAGTTATTATTGAGATGAAAGTGAGGTGAGCAATGATAGATGTATGTTTAAGGGACACAGGTGCAAGAGAAAGATTTTCTGTTTAAAGAAGACTTAGGGAAGGGAGAGGGGAAGATCTAAGCTGGGCCTTGAACGATGAATAGAATTTCTTTAAAAAGTCAAAAATGATGTGGATTCCAAATTGAAGGAATAGCAGATCCAAAGACATAAAATAGGGATTGGCAACCTATAGCCCACAGGCCAAATATAGCCCACTGTCTGTTTTTGTAAATAAAGTTTTATTGGAACTCAGCCATATTCATTTCATTTTTGTGTTGTCTAAGGCTGCTCCAACAACAAAACTGAGTAGTTCGGCCTGCAAAATCTGAAATATTTACTCTCTGGCCCATTACAGGAAATATTTGCTGACCTTTGGCATAAAACAGCATGACCTGATGGTAAACTCAAAATGGTTTCAGTTGCTATAAAATCACTCCCTGAATCAGAACCAAGTGCTGTTCCACATTTCTTCATGCCTCTAAAATCTCTGCACTGATGAGGTGCTTTTATTGCCCCCACACATTGCCTTCTTAGCTTTGGAAACATTTCATTGTTCTACAGATGCCATCGAACCCAAATCACGCATAGAGCTCAGCCAGCCAGTTGATACTTAGGCCTTTCCTCTTCTCACTCACAGTAGTGCTGTGGCAGCCAGGATGCCTTTCCATTGTAAGCTGGAGGGATACATCGCTTAGATGTCCTTCAGGCGCACTAGAGCAGCTCTCTCTGCCAGTATAGGTAGAAGGACAATTGTCAGTCTCTGAAGTAATTTTAGTATTGTGCTATGGGGAACATCACTTCTTCATGTGCTCTTTATATCCTTCTGTTACAAACAGCAATGGTGTCATAATTGAGATTAGATATAAAATGTATTTCTTTTTCATTACAGATTCATAGAAGTATAGCTATTTCCCTGAATAATTCTTTTTGTTTGTTTCAGTATTTCTAAATTTGAAGAACGATGCTGTTTTCTTTATGTGCTTCATAATTCTGACGATTTCCAAATCTATTTCTGTACAGAACTTCATTGTAAAAAGTACGTATTAGTCATTGTTTATGTGTAAAAGTACTGTTCTTACCTGATCATTATTTTTAATTAATGAGTGAGCGTGTAGCTCCTGTAAGGAATTCATGGCCATCTGGTTATGTAAATATTTCATTTAGGCTAACGTTTTTAATTATGGGGTATGTTTAACAACCAGAGAATTGGGGGAGGGGACTCTTTAATAAATCAAGCTTTTTCTTAGTCATAATATATTTTTCCAAAAACAAAACATTAACCAAGACTTACCGGTTAATTGCCAAATACTATGTCTCGTTTTTAAAGTGCTCACTTATTACAATATGTGATTACCAAAATTTTCATTCTTGAATTCTTTTGAATAATCTCACCATTATTCTTTAGAATAATCTCAACAGTGGCTCTTAGCAGTAGAATCAATTGATGCATTTAAAAAACTGCCTGGGCCCTACCCCTAAGAAATTATGATGGATTTTCTAGTGGGGTGCAGCTTGAGTTAAGAGCCAGTTAGCTGATATACACCAATAAAAGGTAATCCAAAAATCCATGGACTCGACTGGACTGTGTTTGTGTTAACCTCCCTGTATATATTTCCCTTGGGCTAATAACTAAGGACTTCATGTTCCCTTGGAGCACAGTGACTGACTGTGAGGATCTTGAAATGTGAGTGACAATTTAGAAACCAAAGTGCAGGCAAAAGCCAGCTTGCACTTAAAATTTTGCTTATTCAAAGAATCACTATTTGACCCGGTTGTAAATAACTAATATACTGATTACAGTATATAGTCGGTCATTTTTATCTTGATACAAGAAAAAAATGTTTAATCCATAATTCTTGGCTATAGTTTTGTCTTTATTATTGTAAAATATGGAGTAAAAATACTTGGAAATAAATAATTCCTAGCACATGTATGGTCTACTTTTCTGCTTAAATTTTCAAGGCTACTGATTTGTTTCTGTGATCATTATAACTAAGATTTATGGAGTGCTTACTCTGGACCTAATATCTATTTTAATCTTCAAATAAAAACTTAGGTAGGTAATACTAATATCTCCATTGAAGAGTTTTTTAAAAAATGGAGTCTTGAAGAGTTCAATGAGCTTAAAACCATATATAGCTAAAAAATGTAAAGTCTGGGATTTGGACAAGCACATGTGACTCTAGAATCTAGGTTCCTAAAAACTACATTGTGTTCCCATCCCACTGTATTATATTCTGCTTAGAGATGTACATGTTGAAAAACTTTGTGTGACTAGCTGATGGAAGTCTTTACCCTAGAGCTTAAAGTCTGTCTTTAAAACCAGAATTTTTTTAGGTCTTTCACTTTCTTCTTCCTCTTGGTTGAATTTGCTTTTATCTTTAACTCATCAGGATATTTAATCTTCATCAGAGCATACTATTATTCTGATGAGGCTTGGGAGCCTCTTTTTCTTGTCATTGACTGCCAAGAAATGTGTAGAGAGAACGGAAGAGTCAGGGAGTAGATACCACATACAAACTCCAGAGATAAGCTCCAAACTCCCAAATGGGCTTTGTCCATTTTGTTCCTTGTCACAGTCCCAAAGACCAGAATAGTTTTTGATCCTCATTGACACTCTACGAGTATGTGTTGGATGGATGGATGGGTGGATGGATGGTTAGATGGTGGATGGATTGAAAAGAGGTACAGAGATAGAAAGGGTCTGAGTTGTGGTAAGTAGACTTTTCTTACCCCACATAACCTGCCCTTCCCTTGGGTTGGCAGTGCAGAGCTTGACCTGTGAGATCATCAGCCCCTATTCATAGTACCTCCCTTGCTTCAAGTCTCTGAACCCTTAGCATCTCCTCTGAATAGACTAGACACAGTGAGTATTACAGGGGGAATATCTGTTTCTTGCTGTAACGATTTTTCTTGGCTCTGAAATGTTCTACAAGAAAAAGAAAAAACAAAAAAGCAGAAAAAACAAAAACACAGAACTTCACAAGAAGAGTCCCAAAGAAAATGTCGCCAAAAGAGGAGTGGCTTCTTTTACAAACCTATAAGCCAGCCATCCCTAATTCACAACAGTGTTTTGCAGGTTGTTTTTATTAGACACCATGTTTATGATATTGGAGGCAAAAGAATTTAATATCTCAGATCAAATGTTGATACAACACTGTATCAAATAGTCTCCTTGGGATTTAGAGACACTACTCCAGAATATGGGCATTTTTGTTAAGTCTCATTTTAAATAAGAATATTAACATCAGCAGAATAATAATAGCTAATATTTAGTGAGTGAAGTCTGCGGAGCACTTTACAAGTAACTACATCAACTCATCTTCATAACAGCCTTTAAGTTTGATACTTGTGTAGTGCCCACTTTGTAATGAAGGGGTGATGCTGAGAGAGCTGGAGGAGCTTGCCCCAAATCACACAAATACAATCTTGGCCTGCTATCTAAGTCCACATTCTTAACGTTTCTGTGACTTTGTCTAGCCTCGTTGTTCTAATTCTATAATATGTTACATTACTATTTGAAGTGAGGCATTAGGTTGGAAATTTCTAGATAATCCTACCGACCTGTGTTTTCCCTTTTGGAAAATCACATTTTTCACACTGATACTGATAGTTTGTTCACTGCCTGATTTTATAAAGTCTCTAAATCCCATTTTTTTGCTCTGAAGTCATGTTGGAACATACGTGGCATATATTTAATATCGAACTTACAGTGAGTGACCACATACCAACTCTCGTTGTAGGTTTTTTGAAATGGTAAACACCATTACTGAAGAGAAGGGGAGAAGCACGGAGGAAGGCGACTGTGAAAGTGACTCCTTGGAGGTAATGACTTCGGCTTCATGTCCCTTTTACAAAGTTTCTCTGCAGCTGTTTAAAAAAAGAACTGTTTAAAGCCTTACTGGGGTAGCTGTGCACGCGCGAATGCGTCCGTGCATGTAGCAGGGGCAATGTAAGTGGTGGTGAAGGGTGGGGAGCCCAGCTAGAATCTGTGAGCTTTTTCTTAATGCTAGAGCCAAGTTCTTTTAGAACGCTTTGTTAAAAAAAGAGCTAAAGAGCAAACATTGGAGAACTCTTATCTGGGAATACTGAGTTTGTTTGTTTTCCTTATCAGTTAGTAACTATGCTTTATCTGTGAGGAGGTTCATTATGTTCAATGCACGGGCCACAGCACCCTCACATTTTTATTCTCCTCTGATAATACATGCAATCCAAACAAGCAAGATTCAGCGAAAATTCTGAACGACACATCTGGTTGTGGCCCTGCTTTGTATACTGCACAGAGGACCTGGAACAATGACAGATTAATAGACTAAAGAGAGGAGGTAATTCAAATCACCTGAAATGCCGTTCCTCTCAACCCAGTTCTCTGACTTCTGCCTCATGGACACAGGACCCTGTAGACACCTATTCTAGATCATGTCCGTTTTCTTTGTCATGGTTACTCTGTGATCAAGAGCCTTTGTCACTGTGAGGCCTAGTGCTGGCATGGCCCAGGAGTGGTGACCTTCGTGCTTGAGCATCTTATGAAAGTTAGCATTCCTCCAGGCCTGGCAGCAGACTACCTTCTTCTCCCGGTCCTTCTCAGTGTTAGACTCGGAACAAAATTCTGAACCCAAGCAATACTAAAACTTCTATTTCTTTTTTTGATGTTTATTTATTTAGTTTTGAGAGAGAGAGAGAGCCAGCAGGGGATGGACAGAGAGAGAGAGAGAGAGAGAGAATCCCAATCAGTCTCTGTGCTGTCAGCACTGACATGGGGCTCGAACCCAAGAACCATGAGATCATGGCCAGAGCCAAAATCAAGATTTGGAGGCTTAGCTGACTGAGCCACCCAGGTGCCCCTACTTTTCTAATGTTAAAGTGGAAAAGAAGAAAGTAGAGCACCAGCCTGACTGGTATACTTATTTACCAGATCACTTTGATAATGCCATCCCACATAATAGAATTTTTATAAAAACATTGAAGTAGTAGGGTAGCAGTTGAAAGAAAATTTAAATATAATAACCAAGTGTTAAGTCTGTCTAGAGTTAAGTTCTGTAATTATCTAGCAGTTGAATATAGCTTTGATGTTTGTAGGTAAGCCTGAGGCTCTTTCATTAAAGTTGTGCAAGGATGATAGACCTAATTTGGGGGAAAAAATGTTTCCCCATGCATTAGCTTGGTGTCTATAGGAGTAATAGATGATGCTCATTTGTATAGGTTTTATTTGTTATTTTTTTGTATTTTTTGTATAGGTTTTAATTTTGTATTTTCTTATTCAAGTATTATATTAGGAACTAGATTTCTAGGCTCCTGCATCAGTGCTTTTTGACTATTCCTCATTATCTCTGTTTTTATTTGGTTTAAATGTAGTCACTTGACACACAGCAACTACCAAGGTAAAAGGTAACAAAGACAATGGAAGTGAAACATTTCCATGAGTAAATACAAAATGATGAAGTGAGTGGACTGGGAAATTCATAAAGTTCCTCTGCAGTGTCATAAAATTGCTGGCTTTTTAAAAAGCCAGTGATCGCTGTCTTTTACTTTATACCCTCCTTTCAGGAACTAAATCCATCTTACCAAAAATACACATAGCATGGCCAGGCTGTGGTAACCATAGGAGACAGCTTGGGCTCCTTAATTGATTAAATCAGCAGTCTAGACTCTTCTCCAGGAGCCACTTTTACCAGTTTTACCAGTTCTAATTGCCTTCGAATTTGGGATGAACATTGCCAGCTGAGTTTTCTAAGACTCAGTTTCCTACAGTGTAAAAAAAGTAAGTAGATCACTTTTTAAAGAGCTGTCAAGAAGATATGGAATCAAGATCCTTTGATCTGGACACAGTAATAAATAGGGTGGCTGTGTGAGGGGCCCTTCCCGGTCAGCCAATCCTACTGTGAGCACTGAGAATACTCACCAAACAAATAAGGAGGGAAATAAATGCTCAGGCTTCTTCTCAGGAATAGCCCAAGGGTTTTAGTTGCCGTGCTGCTGTGCTGACCTCACACAAAAAAACAGCTTATACAGTATTCCTGATTCATCAAAGTGCTCCTCACTCACCCTTGTCAAGTAAGTACAGGGATGCTATTCTTTTAATGTCAGAAAAACAGTCTTATACTCTATCCTTCTCATTCTATCAGAACAATTTAAAATCTATGACCTAGAATGCTTTCTACGATATTCCTAGTGGACTATATAGCATATATAGTGAATTCAAGCATACTTATTTTCAGTGCTTGGGCTAGTTTGCCATTAAACCCCAAGTAGAGACATTGCTGACATTTGTGTGTTGGAGGGGTGTGGTATTCTGTGGACACAATAGAAATGCACACAGAGATTGTAATGATGTTCTGGGCTTCACACATGGTGACATCCCTCTTCACTCTTCCTCTCACTGAATGTCCCTTTGTAGCCAGAGCACCTTTACAATAGGAGTTATTAAGTAGCCTGAACTTGTATTTTCACATAATTTAAGATAACATCATGATTATATTTCTTAGATATTCACTCATGTGGAATTTAAGAAACAAAATAGGTGAACATAGGGGAAAGAAAGCAAAAATAAGATAAAAACAGAGAGGGAGGCAAACCATAAGACTCATAAATACAGAGGAGAAACTGAGGGTTGCTGGAGTGGAGGGGGTTGGGGGGATGGGCTAAATAGGTGATGCGCATTAAGGAGGGCACTTGTTGGAATGAACACTGGGTGTTTTATGTAAGTGATGAATCACTAAATTCTATTCCTGAAGTCATCATTACTATATAATAACTATATCTTTTCCTAGCTCAAATGTGTATAATTTCTCAAGATTAGTACAAACTCTGCAAGGGAATTTCAAATATAGGTCAGTACCACCTCTCAGAGGACTTTTCTGCTTTTAAAGGGAAAAAGAAACAGCTTCTTTTGATTCAAGTCCATGTCTTTCGACTCTAGGATGTATTTTGACAGGGACAGGCAATGAATCCTTACTTTAAATAATTTAATCAGTAAATTTATATTGAAATCATTGCACAGTTGATTATAGTTAACCATAAGAGTTTTACTACTTACCAGCTGCAGTCCTTACTATTGTTCTCTCAGCCTTCCATATTTCTTTTTTTTTTTTTTTAATTTTTTTAAAATGTTTTATTTATTTCTAGGAGAGAGAGAGAGCGTGAGCAGGGGAGGGTCAGAGAGAGAGGGAGTCACAGACTCTGAAACAGGCTCCAGGCTCTGAGCTGGCAGTCAGCACAGAGCCCGACGCGGGGCTCGAACCCACGAACTGTGAGATCATGACCGAAGAGAGAGTCAGACGCTTAACCGACTAAGCCACCCAGGCGCCCCAGCCTTCCATATTTCTACTAACGCAAGGGCATGCCTAGTAACCCAAGGCAGCCCCCTGGGAGAAACCTCTGCTCCGCCTCTCTTCCTCCTCACACCGAGTCACCCCTCTAGCCCCTTTACCTCATCCTGTCTGTTATTCCCCCATCTCAGGTCTTCACCACTTCTCCTGTGGCCTCATCTCTTTCCTGCTGTCAGTATGCATCTCTGTCATCATAAGAGAGATCTCTCACGCGATTTAATCCTGTGACTCCCCTCATTAAAAACCTTTGATGCTACTCTTTGTAAAAGAAGGTTATCATGGCTATCATGTTCTCAACCCTCTGGCTATAACACAGCCTTTCCTTTCTGCCGAGTGGGCTGGGATTGCCCAACTCTTTTCCATTTTCTGGAAGGCCCAGCTTTCCTGCCCCTAGATTTGACCTGCAGACGCCCAACTCCACATGCTTTTTCTTCTTTGTCCGACCTGGTGACTACAGCCTAATTTTCTTGAGATGCAAGTCAAGTGTCATGTTTTTCTTTGAATCATTTCTCAACAGCGGCTCTCACTTCTCTCTGCTCTCCTAGCATTTCTGCCTACTTCCCTGCCCCAGCTCTTCTTAATTGCATTGTAGTTTGATAGCCTGCACCAGACTGAACATCCCAGGGCAGGGCTTAGGCTCTGTCTCCTTTTTCATCACATAGTCTCACACGGTATGAGGCATCCAAGCAGAAGTAGTTCAATCAGATCAGAGGTGTGGAAGAGTTTGGAGGTAGGGTGTGATAAAGCTGGAATTGTTTATATCTGAAGCTGTGGGGAGAGGGCCATGGATTGGAAGGGACAGAGCAGGTGCTATGATACTGGCTTGAAAGCGGTTCCATCAATGTAAGTCCGTGAAAGAATGAACGCCATAATCCAGCTGCATATCATAAACCAGGCATTATTGACCTTTCTCTTTTCATCTCTTTCTCTTTTTATTTCCTGGAAGGAAAAACTAGATACAAATTACTGAGGTCCTTTTGGTCCTCGATACAAAATGTGTTATATCTCCCTTCTCACTCCTCCCCCAAACACATACATCTATTCTATCTCTCCGTACCTCATTCTCTTTCTCCTCCATCCCTCCCTTTTCCTCTCTACCCTCTTTTTCTTACACTCATTTATACCTCATTGTTTTCCCAAAATGGGCCTATGACTGACATAAACCTGAAGTAATCATGGCATGTGACCCTGTGAACTTGTTTATACCTACTTTCCAATATGCATAAAGAGAAAATTGACCCCTTGTTGGGTGAAGTGGAGACAAGCAAGATAAAAAGAACGTTTTCCTTTGATTTAAACATCTGCAGAATGATAAAATACCTTACCATTTCCTTTTCTGATGATTTCCCTCACAAACATTAACAGTGAATTATGGTTTAGAATTCATTTAAATCAATTTGGAATCATTAGATTCACATTGGTTTGTTTTTCTTTAACATTACATTTCTATTTTTTAAACTTTATTTATTTATTTTGAGAGAGTGTGTGTGTGCACAC